TGTTGTATCAGTCTGAAGAGGTTGCTTCAGTCGATAGCCTGTACCAAGGCAATGAGCATGTGACTGCAGGAGGGAGGAGTCATGTGGTGGGGGATTGCTGAGAAACATTCTCATTGGAGATCGACCGGGGAATATCACAATTTATTGCAGCGTGACTGCGATAAACTGAAGGTTCTGTGCACCACTCACCTGCTGCTTTGTGCTCAAGGCAAGTGTCTTGCAGCTGGAGCTGCTGTTCTGGATTCTATGGAACAGATATAAATGTACATTGCTGCTTCCCGACCAGCTCAGGAACTGAGTAAAAATACATGATGCCGCTACATGAAGGTTGTGAAATATGAACTCAGATCTGGCAGGTTTAGATGCTGGAAGTTTACTGTCATTCGCTTCGAATATCATGACAGACTTAGTCCTTTTTTTTATAACTAATTGCTCCCTCCTTAGAAACTAATGCTGGAGAGGGACAGAAATGTGACCAAGATTCTGTGTCAACTGAGAGAGCGCGCTAAAGTGCTTTTGCTGGTGAGAAATCCATAGATTCTGCTGGTTCGCTCTGCATTCAGGAAGTGGGAGACTGTGTTGGTTAGGGGCACATGGACAGTGTGTTCACTAGTCAGGAAGTTTATTATAACCCATCCATGCCCCTGCACTCTCAACGCCTTTACTCAGATTGATTTTCATTCGTTCATGGGATGTGGGTGTCCCTGGCTGGGCCAGCATTCATTACCCATCCCCAGGTGCCCTTCAGAAGTTGGGGGTGAGCTGCCTTCTTGAAAAGTTGCAGTCCATTTCCTGGAGCTAGGCTAGTATTTCCATGATGGTGTCAGTGTTAGACTGGGGTAGGCAAGGTCAGAAATTGCACGACACCAGGCTATAGCCATGAGGGAGGGGTTCGCAGGATTCTGACCCAGTGACAGTGAAGGAACAGCGATATATTTCCAAGTCAGGATGGTGAGTGGCTTGGAGGGGAACTTGAAGTGGGTGGTGTTCACCATGTATGTGATGCCCTTGTCCTTCTGGATGCAAGTGGGTCATGGGTTTGGACGGTGCTGTCTGAGGATCTTTGATGAGTTTCTGCAGTGCATCTTGTAGATAGTACACATTGCTGTTACTCTGTGTGCTGGTGGAGGGAGTGGGATGTTTGTGGATGAGGGGCCAATCGAGTGGGGGCTGCTGTGTCCTGGATGGTGTCAAACTTCTTGAGCATTGTTGGAGCTGCCCCCATCCGGGGCAAATGGGGAGTAGTCCATCACCCTCCTCCCTTGTGTTACGAAGTTGTGTAGCGTAATCATGAATTAGAAGGCAGGAGCTAGAATTTGTTTGCACAAACAGTGGTATGGGTGAAGAGTGCGTGGCTCCTTTCAGAGGTAAAAGGGCTTTCCTAAGCTTAGGGATTTATACAGAAAATGTGTCTAAGCAGCTGAAGGGACAGCCGGTTCTGAAATGGAAACATGTATCAATTGGCTGTGTGATTGGAAACCTTGTTTTGCTGTTTTGGCAACTAGCTGGAATCAGCTAATTAATTTAAACCAAGCACTTAGTGATTGAAATCCAGTTGAATTTAAATCTGATGGTTTTAACAACTTCGGGCCAATGCTATTGTAAGAAAATTGATATGTCATCCAATGTATATAAGGAGAGGGTTTTTGAAAATCAGTGTGAGAGTGAACTGCCATCTGAGAAATAAGCATCGAGCTCTCACAAGAAATCGCTAATTTCTCTAAGAAAGCACCATCTATCCATAAAAGGTACCACAGTACTTCTAGATAAGAGTCCTCACAGAAGACTTCACAGGGAAAACATCCCCCTGACAGCCAGATCAGTGAAAGAAAGACCTTTATGACTTGAGAATAGAACATAGAACATAGAACATTACAGCGCAGTGCAGGCCCTTCGGCCCTTGATGTTGCGCCGACCTGTGAAACCAATCTGAAGCCCATCTAACCTAAACTATTCCATTATCATCCATATGTTTATCCAATGACCATTTAAATGCCCTTAAAGTGGGCGAGTCTACTATTTTTGCAGGCAGGACATTCCATGCCCTTACTACTCTCTGAGTAAAGAACCTACCTCTGACATCTGTCCTATATCTATCACCCCTCAATTTAAAGCTATGTCCCCTCGTGCTAGCCATCACCATCCGAGGAAAAAGGCTCCCACTGTCCACCCTATCTAATCCTCTGATCATCTTGTATGTCTCTATCAAGTCACCTCTTAACCTTCTTCTCTCTAACGAAAACAGCCTCAAAACCCTCAGCCTTTCCTCATAAGACCTTCCCTCCATACCAGGCAACATCCTGGTAAATCTCCTCTGCACCCTTTCCAATGCTTCCACATCCTTCCTATAATGCGGTGACCAGAACTGTACGCAATACTCCAAGTGCGGCCGCACCAGAGTTTTGTACAGCTGCAACATGACCTCATGGCTCCGAAACTCAATCCCTCTACCAATAAAACCTAACATACTGTATGCCTTCTTAACAACGCTATCAACTTGGGTGGCAACTTTCAGTGATCTATGCACATGGACACCGAGATCTTTCTGCTCATCCACACTACCAAGAATCTTACCATTAGCCCAGTACTCTGTATTCCTGTTACTCCTTCCAAAGTGAATCACCTCACACTTTTCCGCATTAAACTCCATTTGCCACCTCTCAGCCCAGCTCTGCAGCTTATCTATGTCCCTCTGTAACCTGCAACATCCTTCTGCACTATCCACAACTCCACCGACTTTGGTGTCATCCGCAAATTTACTAACCCATCCTTCTACGCCCTCATCCAGGTCATTTATAAAAATGACAAACAGCAGTGGCCCCAAAACAGATCCTTGAGGTACACCACTAGTAACTGAACTCCAGGATGAACATTTCCCATCAACCACCACCCTCTGTCTTCTTACAGCTAGCCAATTTCTGATCCAAACCACTAAATCACCCTCAATCCCATGCCTCCGTATTTTCTGCAATAGCCTACCATGGGGAACCTTATCAAACGCTTTACTGAAATCCAAATACACCACATCAACCGCTTTACCCTCATCCACCTGTTTGGTCACCTTCTCGAAGAACTCAATAAGGTTTGTGAGGCACGACCTACCCTTCACAAAACCGTGTTGACTATCCCTAATCAAATTATTCCTTTCTAGATGATTATAAATCCTATCTCTTATAATCCTTTCCAACACTTTACCCACAACCGAAGTAAGGCTCACTGGTCTATAATTACCAGGGTTGTCTCTACTCCCCTTCTTGAACAAGGGGACAACATTTGCTAGTCTCCAGTCTTCTGGCACTATTCCTGAAGACAATGACGACATAAAGATCAAAGCCAAAGGCTCTGCAATCTCCTCTCTAGCTTCCCAGAGAATCCTAGGATAAATCCCATCCGGCCCAGGGGACTTATCTATTTTCACACCTTCCAGAATTGCTAACACCTCCTCCTTATGAACCTCAATCCCGTCTAGTCTAATAGACTGTATCTCAGTATTCTCCTCGACTACATTGTCTTTTTCCTGCGTGAATACTGACGAAAAATATTCATTTAGCACCTCTCCTATCTCTTCGGACTCCACACACAACTTCCCACTATTGTCCTTGACCGGCCCCAATCTTACTCAAGTCATTCTTTTATTCCTGACATACCTATAGAAAGCTTTAGGGTTTTCCTTGATCCTACCTGCTAAAGACTTCTCATGTCCCCTCCTGGCTCTTCTTAGCTCTCTCTTTAGGTCCTTCCTGGCTAACTTGTAACTCTCAAGCGCCCTAACTGAGCCTTCATGCCTCATCTCTACATAAGCCTCCTTCTTCCTCTTGACAAGAAATTCAACTTCTTTAGTAAACCACGGTTCCCTCGCTCGACCACTTCCTCCTTGCCTGACAGGTACATACTTCTCAAGGACACGCAGTAGCTGTTCCTTGAACAAGCTCCACATTTCAATTGTGCCCAGCCCCTGCAGTTTCCTTCTCCATCCTATGCATCCTAAATCTTGCCTCATCGCCTCATAATTGCCTTTCCCCCAGCTATAACTCTTGCCCTGCTTTATATACCGATCCCTTTCCATTGCTAAAGTAAACGTAACCGAATTGTGGTCACTATCACCAAAGTGCTCTCCTACCTCCAAATCTAACACCTGGCCTGGTTCATTCCCCAGTACCAAATCCAATGTGGCCTCGCCTCTTGTTGGCCTATCTACATACTGTGTCAGGAAACCCTCCTGCACACATTGGACAAAAACTGACCCATCTGAAGTACTCGATCTATAGCGTTTCCAGTCAACATTTGGAAAGTTAAAGTCCCCCATAACAACTACCCTGTTACTTTCGCTCCTATCCAGAATCATCTTTGCAATCTTTTCCTCGACATCTCTGGAACTTTTCGGAGGCCTATAGAAAACTCCCAACAGGGTGACCTCTCCTTTCCTGGTTCTAACCTCAGCCCATACTACCTCAGTAGACGAGTTGTCATCAAACGTCCTTTCTGCCACCGTAATACTGT